TGTTCAGGGATGGGGATCATGTTGGGGACGCGCGTCGCATCGCCGTAGACGGTCGCGGAAGAAGAGAAGACGATGTTTGTGACATTGTGCTTGACCATGGAGGAGAGAAGCGCAATCGAGCCGCCAACGTTGACGCGGTAGTATGTGAGGGGGATCTCGCCAGACTCTCCAACGGCCTGGGATTGTTAGTTCAACTTCAGCCCGTAGTCGAGGAGCGGACGCACCTTCAGAGCAGCAAAGTGGATGACATTGTCGATGTCTGGGTTCTCCTCAAACACCTTGTCGAGCGCGGCCTCATCCGTAACGTCGACTTGGTAAAAGGCAGGTCGCTTGCCGCAGATGAGCTCGATGCGGTTCACGACTTCTGGGGAGGAGTTGTAGAGGTTGTCGACGATGACGACCTTGTAGTCTGCCTCGAGGAGGGCAAGAGCTGTGAAGGAGCCAATGTAGCCGGTTCCACTGCGCCGTCGTCAGTACCAATTGAGCGTGATGCTTTCGCATAGCTAAATGGAGGGGTGGAGGGGCAGCTTACCCGGTGACGAGAACAGATCCGACAACCATTGTGAGAGCTTAGAATGTGGAGAGAAGAGGATGTGGCTGGGGCGGTTGCTCTTATGCGATCGCAGACTTGTGTTTGATTGCGAGGTTGCAGATATATAAAAACGCGGCAGCACGAGATGCTGGGTTCATGGGCTGTGGCACTAGTGGTGGGAGAAGAGCCGCGTGCGGATAGATTTCCAGATATGGCAAGCGTTGTCTGGCTGCCTTGTGCCATCGCCATGTATTCTGAAATATATATGGCATTCTGGATGTGTGATCGTGTTCATCTGCTCTGCTAGAAGGTACCCAAGTGTAGCAGACGAAATGTACGGGTGGACCATGTCACAGACACAACCCGTCCTCTTGTGTTGCTCTACTGTCACACTTGGGTAGACCACATCACAACTGTAGACACAAAGCCATGTATGGACGAGTATGTCAAGTTTGGTAGCGTGTTGTTAGAGCAAGGGACTGTGGCATGGTGGGCCGACTGCGGGTGGCATCGCCTGGCAAGCCGTAGATCACAATAGCAACCCTTACACTCCAGAGACGTTGCGCGGGCTTGACAAGCCACTCCCCGTCCTCAAGCTACATGCACCAGTCACAGCATCGCTGTACGACATACCTTCCTCTGACTAGAGTTGGGTGACGCAGGTACATGCGAGACGGCGAAATAAGCGTTGTGGCTCTCAGGGTCTCGTGCTCCGCTTCGAGCTGGGCCCGGAAATTTCATGCATCATCCATGTCTTGTGGTAGCGGAGACACTAGCTCCCAGTCTCTCTGATAGATGCTCCGTCTCTCCCAGCCTGCTATTCTTGCTCATGTCTGCTTGTGTCCTTTAGGAGTTAGTTTTTTGTGTCAAAGACTGCCATGTCACACACCGCCGGATTAAGCGCCTGCTCGCTTAACCTCCCGTTTGCGGTGGCTTCCGGACAGGCTGAACCCTTGCACCTCAAAGCGCGACCTCGAACTTTCAACAATCACATCGTCACCCATCAATACACACTGGAGAACATCGCGCCGGATCCTGGGAACATGATCGCGAGTCGCAAACTGCACACACACGAGCGCCAAAAGTTTTTTCAGCCAGTACGACCCTACGCCCGTTTTGCCGGCCTCGACGCGTGAGGGTTTGTCCACGTGTTTACGGACCCACTGCAGGTACCGTCACCAACAACACCGTCATCGCAAGTGTTAAAGGAAGAGTTGGAACATTGCTCGACGACGCGTTTGGGACCGCGCAGTCCGGACGCGAAAGAGCTGGATCACAGAACGAGGTGTAAGTTGGCGCGCTCTCCTACCCATGTCCTTGCGGTGTGAAAACGTCTCCATGCATATGAGGCTGCATGCACGTGTTGTCATGCTTCACCTTCATCCTCATCTTCACCGCGCAAATTTTCGTCGGCTGGCTGCAACGAAGCTACTTGCCTTACCCCTGTTTTCTGTTATGCTCGCCATTGTTGCGAGTCGGCCTCATCTCTTTGTTGCACCTTGTTGTTGGGCGGCTCCAGTCGTCCGCCTTTTCTTTCACAACTGGCCATCCCAGCGATTCAACTTCAAAACAGACAAATGCTCACAGAAGCTCAGCAAGAAACTCAGTCCCTGTCGTCTGTCCTTGGATTCGCATCTCCTGGCTCCACATCACTCTAGACTCCAATCGGGACATTGACAGACCATCGCCATGTCCCAACGTGCTAACGGTGAGGTACGCACACCTGGTGGGCGGAATCGCCGCTCAGACCGGCTCAGCGCAAAAGCAAACTCCGTTACCGCAGAATCAATAGTCACCAATGCCACAGCGTCCGCTGCGAAACGCACTACGACGACCCTGACCAAGGTCGCCAACCGCAGATCAAATGCCTACGGCGCGAGCGGTCGCATTGGAGCCCCTGACAAGCTTCCGGCTGCCCCCGCTACAGGTTTCACCCAGGCCATGGAAAGCCAGCTCGAAAAGTACGCCAATGGTCAGGATGAGGAGGAAGAAGAGGAAGAAGAAGAGGAAGATCACCGGGATGACAGCGCCAACGAACTTGGTAGCGGTCGTCCGTCACTCTCCGTCAAGAAAATCCCCAACAGCGGCAAGCTCTCGCCAGACGCCGCGCGCAACCCCACATCCAAATCAAAAGTCACCCCCGGCTACTCTTTCATCGATAGTGATGACTTCAGTCACAGCGATGATGACTTTGCAGCATCTGTCGGCAACACCACCAAGTCTTTTGGCCTTGCTCACGAGGCTGGCATGCTTGTCTCTCAGGACCCATTCGCCGGTGGACCCATCCGGGACGAGCCTAGAAGCTCACCTTTCGTCCAGCCTGCAGCACCAACCCGCCAGCCTGAACAAGCAGCCTCAGCCGCGCAAGATCCCTTCATCAAGCCTGCAGTACCGTATCGCAGGCCCGCCAGCCGCACAGTGAACGGAGCACGGACGCAAGGACCAACCCCGGTTCTGTCTCAAGGTCCTGTTCGCAACAAGACCCCGGATTCGACTAAGATTCCCAGTCAAGCCGAGAAGCCTATCAAAACATCCATCAACGATCAGGTGCGAACTAGGGCGAATGTGAAGCAGCCTGTCCGCGCTACAACAGCTGAAACCGAAGATTCTCTCAAGGAGCTGATCGCCGAAGAGCAGGGTAGGCTCCACCAACAAGGTCCGCCAGCACCGCAACTGCAGCGACAGGCTGAGCGACGTCGCCCTCACCAAAAAGACAGAGTCGAGCTCAACGCGTGGCTCGGCGATGTAGAGCCGCCTGAGTTCGACGAGCCGGCGTGGGCATGGAAGAAGCCTGTGACGTGGGCCTTTGCAGCGTTGGCTGCTTTTCTGCTATTGGGATGGCTGACTTCGTCCTACATGATGGCGACCGAGCACCCCGAGTCTGCAGCGCGGACACCAAATCTCCTGAAAGCCGTAGGTGCTCGTGTTGGCTATACATACGAATGGATCACAGATATTATTACTCCCCCAAGAGGTTCCACGGATGCTGAACGGCAAGTTCAGCTAGAAATAGAGCGCGCCAAAGCCTACAAAGAAAACAGCGAAGATCATTTCTTGTGGGGCCGCATGTCTAATATGGACGAGAAGTTCAGCAAAAGCACAAGGGAGATGAGGGCAACTCTTGAGGAGCTGAGACACGAGTTGCCGGATATGATGATAGTTCGTCGCAAGGAGGATGGTTCGACGGAGATATCAGAAGAGTTTTGGTCTGCTTTGCTTGGCAAGGCGCGTTCGACTGAGACGGAGGCGGATTGGCATGATTTTCTCGAAGGATCCAAGAAGAAGCTCCAAGATCTCCTCAACCCAGCTCTGCACCAGGACCGCGGCTACACGTCTACATGGCCTGAAGCAGTCACACGCGAAGAGTTCATCCGTCAGATTGAGAAGTCTTACCAGGACATGACCGTCCGAGTGGACAAGAAGATCGACGAGGCCATGCGAGCCCACAGCACCCAGTTCCAGACGATGGTGCAAGCAGAGACCCGAAAGACCATGATGGACCAGATCCGGCTCAATTCTCTAGCCCAAGCCAACCTCGTCGCAAACTACGAACACCACCTCACCAAACCCAACTACTTCTCCCCTGGCTTGGGCGCCATCGTCGAGCCCGACCTGTCTTCTGTGACCTTCAACAACAAGCCTGGTCGATTCTACGAGTTTGTGCGCCGCGTGACGTTTATGCCTGGACAGAACCCGCCGATGGCAGCGCTCACCAAGTGGGAGGAGCCAGGCGACTGCTGGTGTTCTGCTGGACAGAGCGGGACCTCAGCCGGCCAGGCTCAGCTCACAGTCCGACTCCCACGGCCTGTCATCCCCAAGCAGGTCACCATCGAGCACGTACCCATGAACATGATGCCGGCGCGCAACATCTCCAACGCTCCCCGCGACATTGAGCTCTGGGTCCAGACGGACGCGCCCATCAACCCCTATTACTCCCATCGCCAAATGGCATGCCACGACCCGCCACCGCACAGCATCAGTGGCCCCGCCTGGAAGTGCTTGGGGTCATTCAAGTACAACATCCACGCGTCGAACCATCTCCAGACGTTTGACCTCGCTGGCGAGCCGTCCGAGCCTGTTCGGAGAAGCATGGTGCGTGTAATTAGCAATTGGGGTGCTAGTCACACGTGCCTGTACCAGGTGAGACTACATGGGACGGACGCACAAAAGGACTTTGAGTACCCGGTCAGCCTAATGGATTAGGCCAATAATGTTTGGGACGAAAGCATGACGGCGTTTTTTGTATACCTTCGGGATTTTAACGAGTGTTTTTGTATACCCCACGATAGCACCAGAGCACTAGCAATTGTTATTTAATTTGACGACGTAATCCTGACTGCAATGGTTTGTGAGATTGTTGGCTTATTAAGTGACAGGCTCACTTTGTAGCATGAAATCTACCTCTGAACACTCGATATATGCGCGAGGCAGTACAATAACTTTTTCGTTCTTGTCTAATCAGACGCATCTATCGCACAACACCTCCCTTGAGAGTGGGGATGCTACACAGGCCGTCCTTGGTCCTCAGCTTGGCTACACCCGTCTTCTTATCCGCACCCTCGCCGCTCAACTGTGGCACGACACCGACGTCGAAGCCCACTTCCAGACCATCTGTTGTAGTGAAGCCCGGCTGGATCATCTCCCAGACCTTCTTCTTGGGGTTGAGTACAGGCTCAGGCTCGCCTTCCCAGCCCTCAAAGTAGACCCGGTCACCTGCCTTGCTCTCCTTGGGGGGATCCACCAGCTCGACTGGTCCCTTGTGGCTGTCCTCGCCCTCGGCGACGCGTGGTGATGCAGCGAGTACCATTGCACAGCTCTTGACACCGCGCATGGTGACGGGCTTCAGGTTGCACACGGCGACAATTTTGCGGTTCTGCATCTCAGCAAGGGGGATCAGGCCGTTAAGACCAGAGCATACTGTGCGCACGATCTGGCCTTCGTACTCGGAAGTGTTGTCTGTGCCGGGAGCGTCGCCGCATGCGATTGTGGATACGTAGAGCGAGTCGGCGTTGGGGTGGGTTTCGGCCTTGAGGATGTGGCCTACACGTAGGTCGATGAGGGCGGGGGAGAGAGGCTTCTCGACTGGCGCACTGTGATTGTCAGTTGTATACACGATCACGAGGGTTCGTGACTTACGCCTTCTGGGGCTTGGGCTGCTTCTCCTTCTTTTCCTTCTTCTTCTTCTCGGTTGGCGCACCCTCTGGAACACCGCCAGCTGCGTTTCCAACGACTGCGGATGCTACAGCGGAGCCAGCAGCCTCGGCCTTGCCCTTGGCCTTCTCGGCCTTGCTCTTGCCTGCCTGGCCCTGTCCACTTTGTCCTTGGTCGCCAGTCAGGGTAGTAGCTGTGGCACCAGACGCAGCGGCGTTGGCAGCGGCAGCCTCCTTCTCCTTCTTCTTGCGCTCCTTCTCCGCCTTTGCGTCTACCGGCTTGATCTTGAAGATGACACTGTCCTGGTCGATGTTGACCTTGTCGTCCAGCTTCAGGCCGAAGACAGGCGAGTTCTGGACAAAGTCGACATGGCGGACAATGTGGTGGTATCCTTGCTCTCCAGTCCTCTCCTCAGCACTCCACTTGGAGACGACCGGTGCGAGCTTCTGGTAGAGGGCAATGTCTGCGACGGAGGGCTTGGCGCCGAGGACGGTGGTCCGGCTGGACAGATGTGTGTTCAGTGACGACAGGCGCTCGGAGGCTTTCGCGGCGTCCTCAGAAGAAGAGGCGATGTGGGAGGCGGTGATGAGCCATTGGCTGAGCTCAGTCTTCTCGGCGTCGGAGTAGGTGACTTCGGGGAAGAGAGCCTGCGAGGCCTTGACAGCGTCCGTCTCGTCGGCAGCGTTGTTGGGCGCGTGTGTCTTGAGGAAGATCGCTAGAGTTTCGTCGATTGTGGCCATGGTGGGCAGTGGTGGGAAGAATCGCTGGAAAAAGTCGAGGGCAAGTGGTTGTAGTGGGGTAAAGAAATCCGCCGTAAAGCTGCTGGCGGCGGTGGTTCTCGATCTGTGGGGGGATCTGGGCAGTGCTAAAGAGGCTCCGAACGGAAAGTGTCTGGGCTGCGAGAATTGGGGCCGTCCGATGTGTAGTATGCGACAAAAGGGTGTAGCTGGTGGATAATGGCGAAGACGCATGATTCACGTGAGTCAAATTCAGGTCCGCCGTCACCGCGGGGCTCAGAAGCTTCCATGTCGCCGCACAGGCCATCGCGTTTGCCCAAGTCGCGTGTCCATCACATGCATCGCGTCTGCTGCATCTCAAGATGGCTTGATTTAGCATGAGGATAATTGTCGCTTTGCACCAGGAACCAATTTGACAAGATCGGTCTTTGCCTATACCTCGTCATGAGCTTCGTATACCCGGTCAGTGCCTCGACGTTCGAATGTCATAGACTATCCAACTGTCCTACGCCGACGATGCTGTAGCCTATTACATGCCTGGTAAAAGTAAGGAAAGTTTGGATGACGACTCGTTTGCTGCCTGCGCCCCACGTACCTAGGTATAACATGTCGAGCTCAGAACTCCTTCCCCGCAACACCATTCCCGCACAGCACCACCATGGCATCCGAGACATCACCAGACGTGCCCAAGGGCAGGAAGAGGTTCATTCCCCTGGGTAAGACACGTCTTCTCACACCGCAATTATGCCAGCTAATGCGCGACAGAGAACAATCCTGATGTCATGTCCGCCCTCGTTCACAAGCTCGGTCTCTCGGAGAAGCTTGCATTCCACGATGTCTTCAGCATAGACGAGCCTGAGCTACTTGCTTTTGTGCCGCGGCCTGCCCATGCTCTGCTCCTCGTGTTTCCCGTCAGTAAGACATACGAAAAGTTCCGCGTACAGGAAGACCAGGACAAGACGGAGTACCAGGGACATGGCCCGGATGAAGAGGTTGTCTGGTACAAGCAGACAATTGGAAATGCCTGTGGCCTAATCGGCCTGCTCCATGGTGTCTCCAATGGCTCCGCACGCGCTCATATCAGTTAGTAGTCATTCTACCAGATACCAGTTGGCATGCTAACAAGACTCCAGAACCCGACTCAAACCTCGCCAAGCTGGTCAACGACGCGATACCACTCAAGCCCATTGAACGAGCCGATCTCCTCTACGAGTCTGAAGCACTCGAGAGCGCGCATCAAGACGCTGCATCGGGAGGTGACACCGCTGCGCCCGAAGCCGATTCCGATGTCGACCTACATTACGTCTGCTTCATCAAATCGGACAAAAACCACCTTTGGGAACTTGATGGTCGACGGAAGGGTCCTCTTGACAGGGGCACGTTGGCTCCAGATGAAGATGTTCTCAGCGAAAAGGCTCTTGACCTGGGCGTGCGTAGCTTCCTGAAGCGCGAGGCAGAGGCCGGTGGAGGCGAGCTGCGTTTCAGTCTGATCACGCTTGCCGAGTCATTCTAGGAACGGCTAACCAGCTGTGGAGTCTAGAGAGTACACGAACCAGACCAAGTAGATTGGTAACGAATATCTTGAGAACAAGTACTGTGAGGCACGATATCGCTGCTACGGCTGTCTGCATAGATTCAAAGCATGCTTAGACCGTTTGATGTGACTCAAAACTCATCTACCTTTACTTCTCGTCCTTCCTTCAGCGGCAGATAGACCTTCTCCCATAGATCACTCCTCTCGCCAAGGTGATATGTCAAGCTGACATCTTGCATACCTGGCGACGGGGACGATTTAGGAGCCATGATTTCGAGTTGCGAGATGATATTCTCCAGACCCAAGGCCTTCCCGGTAGCTTGTGTACTGCCAGCTTCCAGCGAAACATGGACGATGTGGATGTGAAAGTGGTAGTATGTTGGTTGGTCTATCACCAGTCAGCGAGTCTCCCCAACCTCATCGTACGAACTTACAATGCACGTAGAGTTTGAGCTCATCCTTTTCAATCTCCGGGTACAACTTGACAGTTGCCTCAATCATCTTCTCCCGCATATGCTTAACCCACTCTGCCATGCTTTGTTTAAGATCCCTTACGCTCCATATGTCTCTTCGTTCGACCAGACCTAGCAGATGCAGACTACCCATCGTCTTGCGATCCCAGTTCAGATCCGGCAAGAGTAAGAAGCCTTCTTCGCCAGACTCCCGGTACATGACATCTTCTTGCTCAGTCCGACCCTCGAGAATATTGAAGATCCAATCCAGTGCGCCCTTTTCACGCTGCGCCTGCATGTACGGCCTCACATATTTCTGGTAAATCTCGGGCGTCTCGGTAACAACCCGCAGACGCTGCTGCTCGTACTTTTTTACATGTTTCTCTGTGCAAGGATAGATTAGATTCAACTTGAAGTCCGGAGGCGGGTTGTCATCGCTGGGGTTGGAATTTGCGAGGAACCAGGCGTAGATGTCGTTTGCACCGAGATTCTTAATGTTGCGCAGTGAGGTGGAAAAGTTGGATAGAATGCTGGGCTTGGTGTCGAAGGCGGCACGCTCAGCGAGTAGGAGAGCAGGTTTAGAATCAATGGTTCCGTAGAGGGAGATGCGGCGGCCGGCCTGATCCGAGTTTAGGAGGCGGGTTGGCTGGAATTTTGGGATCAGAGATTCGACGTGGGCGGCAACGTCTGGGGGTGTTGTGGAGGTCATTTTTCAGTCGTTTACTATACCCGACATCAGCACGATAACGCATCCAACAATTTTACGTGACTTTGCATATCCCAGAAAGCATGGCTGTCTACGTCATACTGAAGGAGCGAACTTACTAGACAAACGTGGAATGGCCCAGAGCACATGCAGAGAAGTCTCCCGCAATTTCGGGTGGATGTGGGGAGATTGATGCGAGATCACATGTCTGCGCGATCTCGCGTATCACTCCAGCAACCAATGAATGCGACCCTGATCAGCGCCAAGCAAATCGAATGAGGTCACTGAACCCAACCACCCCATCATCGCAAGCGACTATCACGACGTTGAGCAACCAACAACTGCCCATTATCGATCGCAAATACTCCAAAATGGCTCCCAGACGCAAAGCATCCGCCCCCGCTGCCAAGTCGCAGCAGTCGACTCTCGCATTCCACGGCACGACAAACAGGGTCACAAAGGCTGGCGTCAAATCGCAAGGCGCAAAGAAGAACATACTCGAGGCGAAGCTGAAAGACATCAAGCCAGAGGTTGCCGACATCTCAAATACTGAGCCGACAACAACGGAAGCTGCGATCATCGAGCAAACAGAACAGGAGGTCAAGGCGCAAGAGGTGGAGAGCACACCAGACGAGGACAGAGCACGGCGCATATCAGATGCAGCGATCAAGAAGTACTGGACCACAAAGGAGAAGCAAAGGCTTGCACCGCGGACGCACCAGGGAGGTCTGAGCCTGCACGACAAGATACTGAGGGAGTTTGACATGAGCGCGCATTATGGCGTAAGTTCCGAGTCCCCGCCCATCTATGATATGAAGTCCTCGACGTTGTAATCATGCGCTAACAAGATATGCGCTTGTAGCCATGTACCGGAATCGCTCGGTTGAAGCGCTGGAAGCGAGCGCAACGGCTCGACCTTGACCCGCCGATCGAAGTACTGGCGGTGCTGCTGCGGGAACAGGATGCAAGCGACAAGGACAGGATAGCTGTTCAGCGCTCGATCGTCGATGAGATACTGAATTCTAGGGCCGAGCTTGATGTATGAGGATGGGTATTAGCGCGTTGGGCGCAAACTGCAGCAAGGACGCCGTAGGAGCGATGCGCTTCTCGACGACCTATGCTATGAATACGAGCTTTGATACTGGCGTTATGCGAGGAGTTGGGCGGCATGGTTGAACAGGCGCACTGAGTGATTATGTGTAGCAAGCGGATGGTGGGCACGCGAGCATTGCAGTCTTGCAAATGAGCTACTAAATTGACGCAACCCAAGAATTCAATCTACAAATCCAATCCACACACCATTAGTAACACTTTGATAGTGCGTGCGAGAGAACAATTTTCTCCTCGTACGTCAGCATGCGTTGGGGCTTACACCTCACGACTTGGGTTTGCTCGGAACTACTGAACTAACAAAGACACCTAGTCCTGGTGTCGTTGCAGAAGCGATAAGGAGCGACATGGAGATGCGGGGTTGCGCAGTGGACACGGTGCGGTATGGCCGACAAACGGTGCTGGTTAGCATGCCATGTAGACTGCAGCTGGTCGTTTGACAGCAATTAGGAGGCTCCAGACTCTAGTATGCTTGGGCGGCTCCAGAGCCAAAAGACGCGGGGTCGATCGACAAAGGCTCGATGAAGCTCCAGACTTGAGCTCGCGTGTTGGGTGGCAATTGCTGAGCTGCACGGCAGTGGGGCATGATGCTGGATCCGCATGCGAATGGCGCACTAACAGCCAGCCCGATTCCACGCAGCCGGCGTCGTCCTTGTTAGCGGGCACTTGCTCACTATAGCTGCCAGTAGAGCATGCAGCGCGCACAGTGCGTCTGCCATATCTCCGCACGCATCCTTGCGAGGTCCGCGAGACCCACCCATTGGCATCCTTATCGCCCTTGCAACAACTGCGCCGTGATGCTGCCGAATCCCAGCGGCTGTCACGAAGCCGAAACTGCTATTTCGGCTGCCCGTCGTGCAGTGCTGTCTGCCCCAGCCAACCACAGCCGGCCATGGAGCAAGCGTTGCATGGTGGCTGCACCATGAAGCCGGGCTGGGTGAATTAAAACGGCGCCTTGTCGAGTGCTTGGGATGGTGAGATAGCGGGGAACCACTAGAGACGCCCATATCATTCCTGTGGCTACAACCTCCATCGACGCCCCTCGCCCCTCCATGTTTCTTTCTTCCTGCTCGTTTAATCCAATTCCTCCCATTCCCCTCATCGCAGCATGACTACCGCCGCGCTTTAGATTCACTCTTCCGCAAAGGGCCGCGACTTCTCCACGGCTTCGTGCTTACCTCTCTGGCCCCGGCTGTTGATCAACTCAACAACTAACGCGCCGTCTTACCCAAACTTTCAACACGTAGGTCCCACGCCCGAAGCTTAAGACGCCGCGTACTTATCAATTGCCCGACAGACTACTCCTGTCACTCCTGCTGTGCTCTGGTAGTCTCCTGACCCCTCCGCTGCATCTCTCTGATTGGGAAGGGCCATTGCTACTATAGAGGACCTGCCAATTGACTTCTCGCCCTCCTCCCACGTTACGCGCCTTCGCTCCATCTCAACCCCAGGCCTTGGACTTGTCAACATGGCCGCTGCTGTCGCCAGATATCCTTCTATGCTCGGTCGTTCTTCGACACCTCCACCGCACCTGTCGCTCAACACCTCTTCTCGTGGTACGCCGACTGCTATTCCCAACAAGCACATCCCAGAATGCTCCCCCGGCGGACTGCCCGCAACTCCCCCAGCATCGCCGCCGCGGCAAGACAGCCTCATTGAGCAGTCGTCCATCACATACCCGCCAGATGCTTACTGCTCGTTGTACTCGGATGACCCGCCCGTGTACACCATCACGGCGGATCGCATGGCAGAGGCCTTGGAGCACACTGCAACGCAGCCGCTGCCGAACCCCGACCAGGTATTCCCATGGATGCACGGTCTCCATTCCGAGAACCAGATCCAGCTTGCCTTCTTCTCGTCTCGTCGCAGAAGCGGCCGAAAGGTTCCCAGGTGCATTCGCAGCATTACCGTTGTCAAGACTGGTGGAAACCTGTCGTCTTCCAAGCTAAAGGGCGCAGTTGCACCAGACGAACTACTGGAATCTGTGTCTTCCGACACACCCAGGTTCATGGAGTGTGACCCAAAGGATGGCTTTTCTGTGCGCAACTTCCAAATCCAGGCTTGTAAATTGGCCATGGTTTCGGACATTATTGTTTACGGCGATCACAAAACCAATCCGCAAGACACCGTTGCGCTCGCTCAGAAGATTTCCCAAGCTCAGAGGCAGTACGAAGCGAGAAATGGATTTCCGCATTGCTTGTTCAACACGTTCATGCTTTCAGATCCTTTCGCGTCTATGCAAGAGAAATACCCAAAGCTTGTTGCTATTAATTCCGCAGGTGACATGACGGGAGAGGTTGCTGATTTCTTCTACTGGGAGCGATATGAGATGAGCGCAATGTCAAAAGCAACCGAGATCAGCAACAATGTTTTCTTAGGGCCTACGCCTGATCAGGCACTGCATCCAGACTGTGCGGGCGAAGACGCTTATGACATGCTCATCGAAGCGACCGATCTTGCACATGTACCTGAATCACGCTCACTACGGGCTCTGCGAATGGGTCTTGAGCGGGTCCACCGCAAATCTACCCTGCACATGGAGTTCCCATCGTCAGGAAGCATCATGCCTCCTACGTGGGCGCACGGTGAAGTCGATGGTCTTATGGATATGTGCAAGTGGATGTACGAGCTAGCGAACCCGCAAGAGGTTCGGCGGTCGAAGCGCAGACGAGAAGAAGAAGACGAGGCCATAGAGATGGACGACATTGCGGCGCCGCGCAAGTTCCTGATACACTGCACAGACGGCTATACCGAGACGACTCTTCTTGCTTTGGCCTACTTTATGTATGCCGAAGGCCTGCCTGTTCACGATGCTTGGATTCAGATGCATCGCGAGAAAGGCCGCAACTTCTTTGCATACCCCTCGGACGTTGCGCTCCTGACGGCGATACAGCCCCGGATCCTCCAGGAGTCTCCTCGCTTCAACCAGAGCATTCTGAACATCTCAGAACCACGCTGGCTGTCGAAGCTTGATGGGAGCCTACCCAGCCGTATCTTGCCATACATGTATCTTGGCAACCTTGGACATGCCAACAACCCGGAGCTCCTCCGCGCTATCGGCATCACACGCATCCTGAGCGTCGGAGAAGCGCTTTCCTGGCCGGAGGACGTCACGAAGAAGCTTGATTGGCCCGCAGAGAACTTTTTGATGATCGACCGAGTCCAAGACAATGGTGTAGACCCTCTCTGGGGCGAGTTTGAGCGCTGTCTCAAATTTATTGGTATGTGTTGCAGCTCATGGTGCGGGTTCTCAACTGACATCTTGTAGAAGCAGGGAAGCAAGAGGGAGGCGCGACGTTGGTACATTGCCGAGTGGGCGTATCACGCTCTGCGACCATCTGCATTGCGGAAGTTATGAATGAGCTGGGCATGTCTTTTCCCCGTGCCTAGTAAGCAAACTGCGAGCTCTTTTCCGACCATAACTGACGTCCCTTAGCTGCTTTGTCCGGGCGCGACGACTTAATGTTATAATCCAACCTCACCTTCGATTCACCTACGAACTACTCAAGTGGGAAGAGTACCAGCGCCAACGACGCAACGAGCCTCTTCGCCGCGACCTGGAGTGGGCAACTGTAGCGCGTGAGATTGCTCTTATGAACAAGCCCTACTCCAGATAACGACTTCACGACCTTTCTGCTCGAAATGACTTACGACGACACGACTCGTACTTGTACGACTACCCTGCCGACTACCCTGCCTTTAGCCAGGCTTGTTCTTATCTTTGTGTGCGATATACTGGTGTTTGCGGCCGCTTTTGTTCCTTCCTACTCTCTTTTAATACTTGCGTGATTTGTACGCGGAACTGCGGCTCATGGTTTCTGTATCTGCTGTCTGCTGTCTGCTATCTGTCATTCTGGGTTACGGGCTCGATGTCGATGAGTATGGGGTCAAAGGGCCAAGGGCATCTCTCATCATTCATCTTCTCGATTCATGTATTACTGTCTCGATTCACTGCAATGGACTGCACTGCGGAAGGATCACGGCGTACTGAGTCCAGGTACTTACGGCGTATACGTTTTAGTTCAAGAATGGTTTCCGTCAACACATTCATGGTAATTCGTCAGGTTGCATCGTTGTGTATTTTTTACGTGATGAACCTTATGCAGTTCTGGAGAGCCATCGTGGCGCTCGACGTTAACGTTGGAAGAAGAGAGTGTTTCAAACCTTGCGATCTTATCGGATGGATTGACTGCGACTCGGTGGCTCCATTACAGAGGAAGATAGCGAGAATGTCCGACGGTATTAATGAGTCGTTGCCGCATAGCATGCTTACATGCATGTATTCAATTTTTTCAGAGTTTGTCCAAACTCTGACATCGTCGTCAACGTGGAGCCTACATGCGTTCGCCCAACGTTGGAAACCTCCATGCAGCATCTCGCCATCTCGACCGAAGGTAGTGTAAACACAGTAGAGACAGCAGCTCATGAGCAGACACTACGCCTGTCTTCCAAGTCAGTGCCATCTTAGTGTCTGCTACTCATCATGACCACTGCCACCACTACCAAAACTGCGAAGATATGACGGGTGAGAGCAGCTGACGAGAAACAGTGGTTTGAGTTAGCGAAGTCAGGTAACGAACGTTCAGATATGAGTAGTAGATACTGATAGATGTTGTGTTAGTTGTCAAATAAGAAGAACTTCTGGGGGTGAATAGTGAAGTAGAGGTGTAGTAGTCACCGCGATAGGAACTCAGTCAGACGCAAGCGACATGATCTACGAGCA